CCGCGGGGGTCTGGCCTCGGCGCTGCTGGGGCGGCGAGGAACGCACCCCCACCCCAGCCTTTCCCGTGCCTGGCTGCAACCAGGTCCTAAAAGGCAATTAAGACAGAAATTAGGTCCACCTTTTACAGCTCTCTTCTACCTACCTGAGCCCAGTTTTTAATATCTCCAGATGAAGCTTGGATGTTCACATCCAGTCTGCCGTTTTCGAATTCTTTGGAGAGACCGTGGTAAAAGCTAGCATGCACCAAGCAAGAGATGTCAGAAGACAAGCCTCCATTGCATTAACAGGAAGAGCCCAACCAAAAGCGGTGTTGTGCTGCTTTTCAGCAGAGAGGGGAAACACTGATGGCAGCCACTGAGGAGACCCAACTGTTCGCTGCACTTTGCATTAGCCTTCAGATAAAGACAGCTACGGGGAAATAGATAGCACAAGCCACGCCAGTGATGGGGACTAGAAGTCTGGCCTTGAATAAGGAAAGCACAAGTAAGAGAGTATTTAGATAAACGGGAATTTTTCAGACCATCTGGGCATGGTGAACTTCACGCAAAGCAATCCCAGAAATATCTGCTGTTATCTACGAGAACTAATGGGGGACAGTGAGGCATGGAAAGACTGTAAAATGCAAGCTTTGTACCCCCCCTTCAAAATGGGGACTGGGGTCAAAAGCCAGGAACTCCTGACAGTTAAATACCCTCACCCACCCACCACCCAAAAAATGCTGGAGCAAATAATCTCTCTACTTATAAGCCGTGGAGATGAGCAGGAGCCATATGGATCTGTCAAGAACAGAATCTGGTCAAAATAATCTGATTTTCCTCTATGACAGAGTAGGAGCATGGTGAAGAAGAGCCCTGGCTGCCATTTAAGTGGCTCTTAAGGATGATGTAGATGGGATGTTGGGTAGGTGCAAAACCCATTGGATAATTATACCCAGAGAGTTATCTATGGTTCACTGTTGAAAAGGAAAGGGTCTGTTGAGTGAAGTTCAGGGACATCTGTTCCGGGTCTGGTTTTGTTTAGCATTTCCACTAATGACCTGGATGATGGAGGAGAATGTGCACTTGCTAAATCTGCAGATTGGGAAGTTTCCAGTGACAAAGTTATTTGCCTAACAGGTCTTTAGAATAAGCAGGACCCTGCTAGAAACCACCTGCTTGGGTTGCAGTGGAGGTACTGGGGACTTGTGAGAGAGGGAGATCCTGGAGAAGGCCTGTATGACACCTGCTGTATTTGTGCTGGACGAGAGAGCGTGATGTCCATGTCCTGGCCCTATGGGGAGGGAGCCGAATGTGGGAGGCTGTATGGGCTCAGCTGCATCAGGAAGGCAGGTGGCATTTGGAAAGCAGGGAACCTTTCCCAGAGCTCTCTGCTGCCAACTTGCTCACTTCTTTATTTACTGTTGGCCATCTCTGGTGTCTGCAGATTTTAAGGTTTTTCCCGAGGTTATGTCAGTTATTTGGTGCCACTTTATAAAGCGCTCTCAGCTCAGGGCTGGTGTGTGGTTTGCCATCTGGTCTGGACCCTACATGGTGCAATACCTCTGACTGCAGAAACAGACCCCACCGTCGTCTTTGTACAGAACAAACTAGCCAGCCTGCAGACCCACTGGCCACACATGTGCAGGCACCAGTTGCCTCGTGTGGGTACTGACTGAGTCTGTCCTGCTCAGAAATCAGACTGGTCTGGCGTAATGTTAATTGAAATGACTGGATGGAAAACCTCAGGCTGAAAAATCAGTACCTAAACTAGATCTTGACTTTTCCCCACTGGCTCCAACCGGAGATCATGAGAACTGTGTGCTGGAGCTGGCCTTCTGCTCTGTATATTTGGGCATATCTTTCATCGGCTGAATCTTTCAACAGTCAGCAGCAGCCAGCCTTGTACATCCACACCCCAACCGAACCTCATCTTCTCTGTGGGACAAGTAGAGGATCTTCACAAGCATCATAGCAACATGGAGAACAACCAAAGCTGCACAGAAACCGCTCAAGGCAAAGCGCAGCTACTAGATCAGGTTAAAAGGGAAGGAGGAGCTCATGTTGCTCTTGGCTTCAGCTGGGGAGAAGAGAAGGAAGAATTTTCTTTCCCTCCATAGACACATCACCCAAATAAAAGAGAAGATGGGTCTCCCTTCAATTTCTTCGCCAGGCAAAGCTGCGTCTTTATCAGAGATGCTTGTTCTGGCTTTGCCGTGTTCCCACCTGTGCTTGAGATCAGCATGGGGTGGAGAGGCAGGGTGCGTGGAAAGGGCGTAAGGGAAGGACCAGGTGTGTAAAAAGCTCAGCTCCTTCACCAAGGAGTAGGAGAGGATTGTGGCACCACCTGGCTTGGGTTATCAGGGAGAGGAGTTGGACTCAGCTGCAAGTCAGGCTCAGTGGAGGAGGGGATATTAAAGAGAAGCCCAGGCCCTTTTTTCTTCCCTTACGGGGAAGAGCTGTGGCAGAGAAGGGAGTTAAGCACCATAGCACAAAGATGAGGCATGTGTTTGGTGGGAAGGCTGCTGGATGGAGGCTCCAGCACAGAATGGAGACTGACCACTGAAGCCACCTCAGCAGCACTGGCGCCCAGTGGCAAGGTAGGATCCAGGTTACAATGAATGGTCTTGTCTTGGATGTGCTACGTCTATGTTTTAGATGTTTATGCTTGATCTTTGAATGCATGTTGCAGATAGGGTTGTGCTTCCAGCGGTAGCTGTTTCAGTGCAGGGTAACTTGGCTCTGTCATTTTAGATTAGCTCAGAGCAAAGAATAATTTTGTTACAGTGAAGTTGGGCTGACATCTATGTCTGCTTTCAGCATCTGCTCACCAATACCTTCAGCAGCAGCTGCTCCCTGTGGAATAGGTTTTGGCAAAGACTGAGTGGCTCATATGATTGGCTTGTGAGGGACCTCTTACTGTGTTCTAGTGAGGATCCCTTCTTAGCAAAGAAATTGCTTCCTCTCTGCGTGCTAACAACGTTGCAGAAACCTGGTTTATGCCAGGTTTGCCTGTCCCATTCATCCAAGTAAGATAGTTTCTTGTGGTGATGTGTGTTTTGAGTTTGGTGGGTTTTTTCCCTAAGAGAAAAGTGAAATATCAGGGTTGTGCCATGTGCCTGATGAAAGGAAAGGAGGCTGCACTGGCTAGGGATGTCCTGCTCCCCTGCTGCACATGGAGCTTCCTTGGGCCCTTGGAGGAACCCGCTGCATCCCTCTGCATTGGCTGAAGCAGCAGGTCCCCCTGGTGCACGGGCATCTCAGGAGAGCCACCTCTGTCTTACAGCTTTCCCAACAGAAACTGCGCAGGGGCGGGCTAGCAGGGCGGGTTGCTGCAGCCGGCCTCTCCCCTGGGGACCGCTGTTCAGAGTGGGAGTGCCTGGAGGGGCTCCCCTGCCCTTGGCTGCTGGGACCCCAAAGCCACTGGCCCCATCCAGCACGGCAGGGAAGCCTGAGCCAGGAGAGGCTCGACCTTCCTGCTGCAGTGGGTGCATGCAGACAGGGAGCAGGGAGGGGGCTTGTTTTCCCCTTCATACTGGGTGCATGGGCTGTTGCTGTCCTGAGGAGCCAGGTGTTTGATTTTTGAGGAGGAGAGATGGCTCCTCCAAACCTCAGGCCCCTATTCCAACTCGGACTGCCTCGTGCTGGCACTCCCAAGGATGCTCACTCTCGCCTGGGCGGCTGGCACTTGATTTCTGAGTCTTCAGACGCAGGTTTGTGCTCTCAATAACCAGACAGGCAGAAGCCTTAAAGGGATTGTGCCAACTTTTATTTTATTATCTTTTTTTGGAAATGGGATTTGGAGAAGGGAAGGGAGGGAGATGTGCAAAGGGGAACTGATTGTTGCAAAAGGGGATGCTTTGGATGTACACCGCCAAAGGTGTTCCTGTCTGACTGGAAATGACCGAAGCATGACAGGCAGGACGCCGCCTTGGTGGATGTGCTTGCTTTACGGGGTTTTTGGTTTTAAGGTCCACTTTGTAGGTTATTTCATGTACAAAACAAAAAAGTATATTTAATGTCTATATATGTATTTGTATATATATAAGACATATATATACACACACACATATTTTATATCCTTACAACTCCCAGTTCCTAAAGGCTTCAAGTCTGAAGGGCCATGTGTATATATGCATTATAAAGAGAGATGCCAATCGACTGAGACAAGGCTTTCCTTACTGGCTGTGTGATAAATAAGTGGGCAAGACGTCTTTAACTGAAATCTCGCACACGTGCAGGGAGAAGGTGTCAGCCAAGCACTGAATGGCAGCCCCTGCATTGCCCTGTCCCTGGCTGTTCCCTGCAGGGGTGGTGTCCGGCTGCCCGTGCTGTCCCGGGGTCTTGGGGAGCTCACTCCTGGGGGGCTCGGAGGGGCAGATTGAAACACACTTGGTTCTGCTGCCCGTGGGTCAGGCACCCTGCACGACGGGGCTCCTATTTCCCCATGGGGCTTCCAGTAGACCGTTTTGGTTTCTTTACCATGAAAGAGGAGGTTTGGTGGGCAAGAGGGGAGGGGTTGGGGAGGGGAAAGACAGTCAAAATTCACCATACGATAGTTAGACAAATCTTCATAGAGGTCCATCTGCCTGCTCGCCGCTCGCTCTTGCTCTCTCTCGCTCTCTTGCTCTCTCGTGTTCACTCTCATTCTCTGCAGGACGTACGCTGTTGTAGGGCTAAAGGTCTCCTTTTGTCAGGCTAAGGTCAAGTCCCTGGTTGGCGGAGGGCAGCCCTTCATACGGGCCTCTCCACGGCGTATTGGCAAGGGCTCAGATTGGAAGCTGCCGTCTGCACCGCCGGGTAGGGGAAGTTAGCGTGCTGCTTGGCTTTCAGCCGCAGGCTGGCCAGGCTGGAGTTGCATGTGTCCCTGTACATGTAGGGGCTGGCTGTTGAGGCGTAAGGACAGGCACTGGATGAGACAGCAGAGTTGAGGCTCGGGCTGTTCAGGTTGTTGATGTTTCCCAGGTTGTTGAGGCTGGACGCCGGTACTCCGGTCACCGCGGAAGGGACCATAGATGAAGGCATGGTCATCGAGGCGATGGAGCTGGGTGGGGAGAACATGGGCTGGGAGGAGAGGGGACTGACGTTCATGGAGTTGAAGAATGGGAAGCTCTTGGCCGAGAGCGGGCTGGTGGCGAGCCCCTTCGTGGCCCAGTTGTTGTAGGAATAGCTGGAATACATGTCGTCGTAAGGCTGCATCAGTCCGTTGAACTGGGCTCCAAAGCTGTTCTTGCACAGTTCGGCCTGTTGGTTCCTCTCCCGTTTCCTCCACTTAGCTCTGCGGTTTTTGAACCAGACCTGCGAGAGAGAGAGGGAGGGGATGGGAATTGCTCTGGGCTGTACCTGGAAGAGGCCTTGCCCCGGTCTCTTTGCACAGCAAGGTGAGAGCTGTTGAAGGGCCAGGGATGCTCCCAGGGAGCTGGGAGGCTGAGCATCAGGAAAGGGTTGCAGCAAGATGTCTGGGCTGCAAGGGTCATCTCCCAGGGAGAATCACCACCTAGATCAAAATCCAACCATTGCCATTTTACAACGCACAGAATAACCCACCTCACTCAACAAACGGATGCCCTTTATTCGGGGAAAAGGGAGGAAAATACTTGCTGTATTTCCAAGTGACCACAGCCCAGGAGGAGGGGTTGGGGTTGTGTGACGTGGGACAAAGTATTTGGGGGATGTGGTTTGAGAGCTGCTGAGTGCAGGAAATAACCTCTCTTGTTTTGACTTCACCTCAGGACCAGCTTGGGGTGGGGTGTTGGAAGTCTGTCTTCTAAAAGGAAAATCTATTAGTGTTGGAGGGACTCAAACAATATAACTTCCTAGAGCGTGGAAGCTGCTGGAAGGGTATTCATGGTGCTGCTAACTCATATTTCTAGTAGCAGAGAGAAGCTCTCATTCCAGCTGGAGCCCTGCCACACTACGCCTGTGACTGCACAGTGGTTTGGGAACACCAAAGACTGCCCTCCAGCAAGGCTAAGGCTGGGGGATGATGGCACTGCAAGGAAGGGGTCTGCTGGGTCAGGGCAGCCAACTGGTGGGGCTCTGTGGGGCAGAGCCTGGGCTTTGCATCTCCCTGCGTTATTGCAAGGTAGCACTGCACGGGGAAGGCACCACCAGCATGGGGTACGTGTGTGGCTGGATGTATCAAATCTCGGATGTAGAGCCTGGTGAGGTGTTTTCAAGACAGGGAAATTTTCTAGTGCCACTAATTCCTTCCTTGGTTTGGGGACAGCTTGGTGGCTTATATCACAGCCGGCTTCCTCCCTACAAGCTTGGGCCGGGGAAGGTGGGAGAGCTGCAGTCCTACCCGGACTCGTGCCTCCGTCAGGTTGGTCCAGACTGCAATCTCCTCCCTGGTGCTCATGTCTGGGTAACGGTTTCTCTGGAAAGTGGCTTCCAGCTCCTGGAGCTGCTGGCTGGTGAAGTGCGTCCTCTGCCTCCGCTGCTTCTTCTTGAGCGAGCCGTCTTCAGGGTTGGAGTCGTCCGTCTGGTTTTGCTGGGACTTCTCGGTGTCTGTGTGAGAAACAGAAAGATGGGCGAGATCCCCTGAGTTAACTCGGGGGCTTTCATGCATTTGGGGTGCCTGTCCTTGGGGCAACCAGTGCACGATCAGTGAGGTCCCCCTCCACTGTGGCCACCAGCAGCTCCAGCTGCACGCACAGGAGTGGTCCCGTCTCCCTCCCTCCCCCTTGTGAGCAGGCATCCACCCTGCACCAAAACCAACGGCCACTTGATGCAGCACGGCCTGCCCTCGTTTAACCCCAGTAATGGATGTCAGCTTCCAAGTGACTGGATTTGGATTTGCCAAACTTCCAATCTCGGGTTTTCATTTGTTGCACTTAAGATGGGCGATAGTGACAGAACTTCCCCAGGCCAGCAGTTTCCTACTCTGCTTAAAACTCTCTGCCTAAGGTGCCCTTTAGAAAAACTGAACAGAAATTGCCACTTATGACACAGCAAAAGTTCAGTAGTGGTTTTGTGGGCAAGTAATGGGAAAAGGCAAATTGCCAATGATAGCAGGTTGACGCTCTTAAATTAACTAAATGTGAGGAGCACAAATTTTTATCCTTCTTCCCTTCTTACTCCTCTACCTTCTTACTTAGGTGCACATATTTTTATTTTTAAAAAGTAGGAAAAGGCCTCTCTTAGACCTTACCATGAAGTACTCCAGCATCTCCCTGTCCTTCCACCCCTGCCCTCCTCCTCACTCGGAGATCTCTCTCCTAGAGGCAGCATCTTTCATTTTGTTCCCCCTTAAATGAACATCTTGAAACTCCCCAGTGTTCCCACTGGTATCTAACTGAAAAGTACAGCTCAGCCTCCTCCTAGGCATTAAGCCCAGCCTTAACGCTGAGCTTTGGGCTGCCATGGCTGGAGGTGGGCAGCCATGTACTTCCCTGTGCCACAGCCCCTCCTGGGGCTGTCGGTACTCTGCAAACGGGCAGAATGCAAATATAAATATCTTCCATCATCAAACAAAAATGTCACATTTGAGCACTTGGGCAATCTATGGAAGACAGCTCCAGGGAGGAAAGCTACAGCTTGTGTTTAATTCTGCTGGGAACCAAGACAAGTGACCATAGAAGAAAATTATTCCAGTGAAAATAAATAATTTCTGATGTTCACCTCCTCCTTCCTCTGATCTAGAAGCAAGATGAAGCAGTTCCAGCTGAAAACTGGTTTTCAGCAGGGAGGGGAGGTGTTCTTTTACAGTGGGAAATACTCAGCTAAACTAAGTAGAAATTATTGCAGTTGCCAAACTGTTGCATCTGGGAGAAGAACCTTTAAAAAATCCTGGCATCACTCCGCTGAGATTCAGATTAAAAGGATTTTTTGTTTGGTTGTGTTTTTTTAAGTGGAAGCTAGCTTAAAAGGCTTCAAAGTCCAGAGAAATCCTAACATGGAAGGTGTCTCTTAAAAAGCAGGGTGTCTCGTACAGCCCCTTAAAAAGCAGGGAGGCAAGAACACAGTAACCTGGAATACAGCTGGGTGAGGAAAGAAAGGGTTCCTCAAGTCAGATGGATGTGATCTGGAAAAACACGCCCCATAAAATCTAACTGGAAAGGAGAGAGCCTAAGAGAGGCTGAAAAGCACCTGAGCCCCGACAGAGAAAGGACTCTGCTGCAGGACAGTGCTGCACCAACAGCAGGTGCTTTAATGGAGCCCAGCCCTGGGAGACACTCCTGTCCCAGGAACCTGGTGCCGCTACCCCATTCCCGTGGCAGTGTGTTAATTCAGAAACTTCTCCCTGCTGTTCCTGGGAAAACCCTCCTTGCACCTGCCTCCCTCCAAAGGGAGCAATGCTGGAGTCACAGAGAGCATTTGCAGGGAAGGCACTTGCTCTTCTTGGAGGAAAGCCTGTGTGCGGTCAGAGAAGGTTTGTTTCTATGGGTCTACATCGCACTGTGGGTTCCCCACAGGCTCCCCACTAGCTGCCTCCGCTGCTGTGGCACGTTTAATGCTATCCACCAGCAGGAAAGCTAATGCAAGGGGAGCAAGCTGGCTATTGCTCACAACAGCAGGGTGCAAGCTGGTTCTGCTGAGCAGGAAGGTGCTGTCTCCCGTTCCCAGTGCCAGGACCAGCTCGTGTTTCCATCCAGGATGTACCCGCAAGAGAACTTTCCCAGTGCACTCTTGAAACAGGAGAAGCCATAGGACCTGAAAAGTGGAACGGTAGGAGCTGGCTGTGGTCTCGTGGTACTCTCCTCATTCCCATGAGCATTTTTATGTAGGGATCCCACATTCGGTAGAACTCTTGGAAGCATGCTCTTAACGTGGATCTTTTTTTTTTATAGTGGTTCTTGCCAAGGAGATAAATCTGATTTCTCTAGCTCAGTGCTCTAAGCCAGTGTTGGAAGAGGGAGATTCCCGCATTATCCATCTCTAAAACAGATTAAAAGGGGAGCGATGCCACCACGTCTGAGCTAGTTATTAGGAATGGCTCAGTACAGATGAAGAGACAACATTTGGTTTGTTTGCTCATCTGCTAAGTCTGGGTTAATTAAGAGCCTGACGCATGCAGGAGATATGTTCCCATGGGAGCCCCGGACAAATGCAGATTTCCAAAGGGGCTGCTGCGAAGCAGGAGGCTGTGCCCTCATCGGGAGCTCCTGCTCAGGACTGCCCTTCTTCACGCAGGAAGAAACTATACCGAGAGGGAAGGAGAATGGAGTGAAGGTACCACTGGCTTATGGGCTGCATCTGGGTGGAAGATGCAGTATCTTGCTTTGGTATTCGTCTTCTCCATACCTTCTGGTGTAGAAGTTTCCATAAATCTTGTGAAGTCCAAGAAGATGTAGGAATCCTGACATTGAGCCTAGAAAAAATCTCTGCAGCTACATGTTCCTCTGACTGTCCTCTCCGTTTCTGTACCTGCTACCTGTGGCTCTTCCTGAGCATTGCTTATAGGGAGTGTCATCTCCGTTTCTGCTTCTTCTCTAGGCAGGGGAAAAGGGCCCTCTGTAAATGGTGCAGAGCTTGGGCATTGCAGTGGGGACCAAAAGCGTGGCAATATGGGGAAACAAGGGACCCTGCAGGAAGGACGGACCCTGTGAGTGCCCTGAATCCGTGCTGAGGAGCAGAATACAAACCACACCACACCGTCGGAGGACACTCGGGATCTCTGAGAGCTGAGCCCAGACAAGCAAGGTTCGTGCTCCCTTCCTCAGGATCTCTTACTTTGCGGATGAAGGAAGCGGAGCCAAGGAGGAGTAAGGAGGCTGCTCTCTTGAGGAGAGGCAAAAAGTGCCAGAAGCGCAGCCCTGCCCCGTCCCGGGCAGCCCTCGGTGGCACGCTCTGCTCTGCCTGACACTGGTGACGTGTGGCTGCCATCGGCCTCTCTGGTGCGAACGCACAAGCTGCGAGCCTCTGCGTGCAGGTAGCGCTGGCAAACACCCGCCTCTCAGAACCATTTTATTTCTAGGCCGTTTAAGACAGTGGGGAGTGACGTAGCCAGGAACTCGGCGTTTATTGTCAACCCAAAATAGGTTGTGGAATATATCTCGTGCACGTTCGCCCACTCAATGAAATGACTGCAGTCATAGCTGGAATTAGCTGCTCATGCCTAATGGAAAAAAGTCAGCTCCTAAATTGGCAGTTCTGTGGCGTGCCAGGGTGGGCTCGATCGGGAAGGCCACTTGAATGGAGACGACTTTGAATGCATCCAAAGGCTGACGAAGAGCCACTGAGCTTGGGGATGTGCCCAACTAAGGTATGCGTGCAGTGGGGAATTCGGCGCGTGGATTCTCTGACCATAGTTATCCCAGCGTAACTCCCTTCATGATACTTACTCTGGGGAATTTTAATCTGCATCATTATGCTTATTAGCTTTTGCACGCGGGTGAGCCTGGAGGCTTTATGCGGGGAGTAGCAGGCTGTCCCCGGCCCTCGCCTCCCCTCGCGCTGGCACTGGCAGCTTTGCATTGCCCTGCCGCATCCAGAGCAACAAGGGATGGAGCAGTCACAGGACATATACAAAATCCAGGGGAAGCCATAGCATTTGGTAGCTGATTTCTGAGCAGGTGTGAATGGTGATGTTTCTTCTTCAGAGCCTGATAAAAATGCGGTAGGCCTGGGGTTTGTTCAGCCTTTGGGAATGGTCAGAGGCACCTCCTTGGGACAGGAGCAGCCCACTGCGGAGCCTGGCACCAAGGCACAAGTGACCAGGCTTTTTCAGTTAAAGCAGGGGCAAGACAGTATTTCTCTTCCTTCTTATTGCCTGAACCTGGAAAGTTCAGCCTAAGGTTAACCTATAGCATGGAAAGTTTCAACCTAAGCAATTTTAACACAGTTTAAAAACCAAAAAAGGGGGGTGTGTGGTGTGTGTGTGCAATTTATAATTAGGACTAGTCTTCTGTGCCTTGGATGAGATTTCCCATGTTGCGGGGAGAGCTCTCCTGCTCTGGGGACCCGGTTTAGGCAAATACAATAAAATCTTGGTTGGGCAGTGACCCAGCTTGCCTGACTCCTGCCTGCCACGGGCTGTGCCCTCTGTCAGCAGTGGCTTCCTGCAGCCGGGGTCAGGCAACCCCATCGCCAGGACGGTGCTCTCGCCCTCCCGATGGCTGTCATTGTGATACGCACCCCTAGGCCTCCCCCCTGCTTGCTGGGACAGCTGTGCCACCATGGCACTGTGCTGGCTCGTGGTACGAGAGGAAGCTCAGCGTGTCCCCGGGAGCACTGCAGCCAGCTCCCGCAAGCCACTGGACACCCGGATCCACCCACAGGGATAGGTCGGGGCCTCTCTTGCATCTTGAGCCTTGCACTCACCGCTGTGGTCCTGCCCTTTGCAGCTGTGCTCGTGCTGAGGGGTTCCAGAGTCCGAGAGAGACAAGGCTGGGCTGCGAGCCTCCGCGTCTGCCAGCAGGTTGAAATCCATGGGGCAAGGATGGGTGGTGGAGGAGGAGGAATCTGAAAAAGCAGCGGGCACAGGGTGATTAGGGAGATGAATCTGTGTGTGTGACCTCTCCCCACCCCCTCCAGGAGGGACTTGCCAACCCTTGAGGAAAGGTCTAGGAAAAGCAAAGGATCCCTGTGTGATCCTTGGACCCCTTTGAATTTCCTGGCTGGAAAATGGACATGCCAGGCTTTCTGCTGAGCTTCCCTATAAATCAAAGATCATCTAGTGACACTTCTATTTGCAGCCTTCAGAGAAAGAGCCTCCAATTTATAGGTGACATTCAGACTGAAATAGCAACACTGGGAGCATGCTGTGTAACGGAGATCTGAGGAAGTGGTTCTGGGCCAGCCAAGGGCTGTTAGCACCTTCCCCAGACATCCCGCCTCGCCCAGCTTCCCTCCTCTTTCTCCCTGGCTTCTCCACAAACCAGTCAAGCCCAAGTAAAGCTGTCCAGAGAGCACTAACACAGATGTACACGCACACATCCCAACAGAAAAGCACTCCTGTGCGTGGCACTGACAGGAAGGCACATCTGCCGCCACAGCCGCTGCCATGAGCAGGGACCTGGGGCAGTGCAAGTGGAATCCTTTGGGGTACATAAGGATCTCTGGAGCCTGAATTAACAGGGGAATCGCATTACACACCCTTGGGTGCCTGGGAATGAGTGATCCTGGCTGCAGCAGCAGCTCGCTTCCAGCCATAGGTCATCCTGGCTGAAGGTTCCCCGTGTCCCCTCAAGTGACTGTCCTGTGCCCGTGAGCCACCTCCCCTGGCTGAAAGCATCCCAGCTGGGAAGGTGGCGGTGCTGCTCTCCGCAACTGCAGGCACCACTGGGACTCCTCTACCACCTCTTTCCACACCTCTCTGTGCCAGGATCAATTATTCTCATCATGCTCTTCCTTGAGGTCCCTGTATTGTCCAAAAGAGCTCAGCTGAGAGCACCACTTTGTTCTGGACCGCACTGGACGCTCATGAAGAGGCAGGCGTGAAGCAGTAAGTGCTACAAGCCCAGCCAGATCACCTTGGAAAGGTGAGCTGGCCCTGCGTTAGCCCTTAATCTGAGTTTCGGATCATAACCCTGCCGTACGCAGGACGATGCATTGCCACCAATGCAGGTGTAATGGTTTCTGAAGGCTGGACTGCTTCGAGGGGACCACAGCGGCTCCTGAAACTCCAGTCACCCCAGCTAATACCTCACCTTCCCTGCTAGGCAGCCTCTCACTCTAAAATGTAACAGCAGCTGATGCACAATGCTGGGGAACTGGGACCCCTGGGTTTAGGGGGGTTTGGACCAGGTGTTTGGGACTTCCAAACTGCAGGTGGAGGTCAGTTGTGAAGACTGGATTCTAGCTGGTGAAGGATTGCCCGGCCCCTCAAATCCATGCGTATTGGGGAGGGAGCCTGCTGAAGGCAGTATTTCGTCTGGACTGCGCTAGCGTTTAGACATGTAAACAAGAGATTAATCACATAGCTGTTGCACCTCCTTTGGAGGTGGATGACAGTGACTAAGAATGTATTTTCAGAGCTGTCTAAAACCTCCTGTCAATTTGAGCAGGGCTGCTGCCAGGGCCCTTGGCAAGGCTGACCCCCATACCTGTAGTGTGCTTCCCAGGCCGTGGGGAGAGGGCAGGGAGCCATTTCTAATGGTTATTCGCCTGGTTTTTGCAGCAGATCTCGCTCACAAAACCCTCAGCAGTTTCCCTTGCTCTCCCCTTCACTTGACCTCCAACCCCAGCCTTTCCCAGGCGCTGACGAATCTGTCTCGACACCGGCCTCCATCTGCGCTCTCCAAAAACAGCATCTAAGGAAGGGACATGGTGCTGGTTTCCCAGACCTTTGCCTCGCTCCAGGCTTCTCCTCTCCTATGGGAGAGAAGTGGCAGGGGCTCTGTCTTTGCCGTGAGGCTGGTTTCCATTTCCACCTCGCGGCGAGCCTGACCTTTGATGTCCGCCGGCTGTGTAAGCTCCTGGCAGCAGCAGGGCACAGCCCTGTTGCTTTTTGCCATGTGTACGTACACGAAGTGATGTGACAGGGGCTGTGTTTTCTTTAATACCTTTGCATGGAGTAGGGGGAGTCCATCTGCTGCTGATATTGCCATGGCTTTTAGCATTACTCTCGGAATTATGCAGAAACGCGCAGGGAATTAATTCCATGGATTAAGTCTTGATTAAGATGTGTGTCACTTTGCTGTCTCAGAATTTATTAAGAGCCCTTCTTGAGGCGGCGGCAGATGGAATTTCTGCCCAATGTTTGTAGATGATAATTTCCCCTCTTCTACAGCCATTTGCATATGATTGCATCTGTCAAGCACAATTTCCTCTCTTCTAGGGCTTGACTCTGTACTGGACCAGATTTAAGGAGGAATTCAGAATCCTGCCTTGCTGTAACTGAAGGACAGTGTCCTCCTGCACAGGGTCCTGTTTGCTTTGAGACTCTTTTTGCACATCTAGCATTACTTCCATCTGTGCAAACTAGAGTGGAGATGGGAAAACCAGGGGGGAGTATTTTACAGCTGGTTCCATAGGTGTAACTGACAACCCAAGGTACGGCTCAGGGGAACCCAGTCCCGGTATTGACAGTTCGTGCCCCATCCTGAACCGCACCAGTGCAGTGGTTACGAGGTTGATCCAAGCCACACAACATAGCGTGCTTGGCCTGCCTCAGAAGTGGAGCGGGCACCTAGATTAAAACTGGTTTTAAAGTGTGGCCCATATTCAAGTTGAAACTGGGACTTGCGGCTCAGAACAAGTTTGCTTTTTGAACTGAATTTAAAAATAGGAGGATTTCAGAGAGGAGATCTTGTATGTATATATGTAATTACATACCTATTGCATGTACCCTACATGGTGGCATCAAGGAAGGCCTTCTCAGCTCACTGTGAGCAGGTCAGGGAGAAGCAAAAGCAAAGGGAGAAGGGGATCTGCTCGGCACAGTTATGAAGGACCGCAGGAAAAGTCTGCGATGGGGACAGCACGTGAGCTCTGTACCAATGTATTTACCCAAAGGCAACCCTATGCCACTGCCACAAAAGGCTGTAGGTATTATTCTAGAGTATACAGCCCTTTTGGATTTAATTAAAGGAGCTTTCTTCCACATTGGCTAGATCTTGCTGTAGGCAGAGACATTAAGAAAGCCAACACTAAACCTTCATGGCACTTCTACTAAGTTGTTTGCCTGGTCTCAGGGAGTTACTGAAATTGGCACCTCAAAAATGTCTTTAGACAAAATCAAATTTATCATCTGCATCTGAGTCTTTTAATATAAAAGAATGGTTTCTTTACGGACAGCTCCTGTACTAGAAACATGCAGCCAGGCTTGCTCAGAGGTTTCACTTTTGTAAAACTAGCCCTGGCTCTTAGCCTGCTCTGGCACCTGTAACTCCTTCCATCGAGGTATGTAATTGCTCCCAAGATAAAGGTTCCCAAATCAACACGCCTTTTCTTCCAGTCACTACCCATGTGCATGCTTTCCCTGGCTGCCACGTGACGATGCCAGCGGCCACCTCTGCAGGTCCCTCCAGCCAGATGGGGAGCTGCTGTCCCTGCCCCATGGGCACGGTAGAGGGCAGGGGAATTCAGCAGCTCTGGCTCCAGGCTTTTTCTCCTTTTGGATTCACCCCCTTTCTATTTCCGTGTCAGTGCCAGGCTGCCCAAGGCAAGGCCATTAGGGCAGGAGGAGGAGGGCACTTCTACATGAGGAGGGCAACCTTGTTTACCCAAAAAGAGCAAGCGAGGGTCCCCGTGACCTCTCTCCTGGTTCTCAGTAACATGCTGCTCCATCACCCGGGAGCAAAGATGCCTTCGCTTGTTTTTTTTGGAGGGGCGGGAAGGAAACATAAAGGCTGACTGTGAGCCAAGTAAGGCTAATTATAGTGGTGGCTTTTGTGATGTGGACGTTGCCTGCTGAGAGCTGCCTTCAGATTGACAAGTGCGTGCTGCTCAACTCCCTGTGCTACCGTCAGGGAGCAGGCTACCTGCCGAACCTGCTTCAGCAGGTTGATCTGGAGGGGGGAAAAGCTGTCTCTTGGGTTGTTTTGGTGTTATTTGGCTTCCCATGGGCATGCAGGGGTGCTTCAGCAGGGACCTGGTACTTGGGATCCCTAGGCAGCAGCACAAAGACCGCTCGTGACCTGTGGGCAGGGAGGAAGCCCAGCCAGCCGGGCTCCCTCCAGCAGATCGGCACGGCCCCACAGACCTGTGGGCTTCCCCCACCGCCCGTGCCTCCGGCCAGGGCCATGGTAGCTGCAGCCTCTGCTTGGGATTGCTGATCTCCACAAAGGGTTCAGGGTTATCCCTCAGGCTGAAAGGTGCTCTGCAATCAGTTGGGGGGGAAGGTGTCTTTTCCTTCCATTCCCTGAGGTGAAGGTATGATGTTACACTAGATGTCTCAGGGTCAGAGCTGTCTCTTCCTGCTCCATCAATCCCAGAAGTCAAACTGCTGGGAGTAACTAGATTCCCGATGGAGTCTGGCTGGTTGCTTCACTCCTCTCATGCTCACGTTCCCTGTGTGCTGGCTTACTTTTAGCAGAGAGAAACAGTTGGGACTCTATTTAACTGCACATTTTCAGGAAGATCATCTGCCTCTGTACTTTGGTTCCCCGGAGGGGCTGAGCTAAGGTGGAGCAGCCCCTGTCTCTTCCTCTGCCCCATGTCAAGGGGGAAGGGGCTGAGGCTGCGCCCTCCTGGGCTGTCCCCCCTAGGAGAGCTTTTTGTTCTCCGGACTCACGCATTGGTTCAGGGGATGGTGCCATCAGAGTGCCTGCAGGCTGGGATTTCAAGTGCCACAGAGTGCACAGAACATGAATCGCACAGCGACCCAAGCGCCAGGCTCTCTTCACTGGCCAACACGAGTGCTGCCTGCGAAGGGCTCGTTCCCTGCAGCTAGAAAGCAAAAAGGATGGGACGCAGGACAAGAGTTAATCTTCGTTTCCTCAAGACTATAGAAATACAACTATGGGGAGACCAGGGTCACCCACTGCT